AACCGTGTTTTCTTTGAGTGGTGCTTGTTCGAGTTATCCAACCCTCTTAATACCACTCATCACTGGCTCTAGAGGCAGTGAACACCCTACAGTAGGATGTCAGATCCTATTGAACTGTTGTATTGTTGTATTTGGGCTGCAATGCTCACCACCCTTTCACTTCTGCTGCAACAGCGGTAGGCCATTAAGTATTTATAACTGCTGGCTGCTGTCAGGCCACAGAGCTGACACACACACACACACACACACGCACACAATTATAGTGAGCTTTTGCTGCCACTTGGTGTTAAAGGTGCAAATTACACACACTAATACAAGTTGGAGTGCTTCAGTTATCCAGCCTCACTACCAGTCTATCTGTCTGTATCTAATCTTAACTGACACATTAGCCTACATTAATCTGATGATGCCCTTGTCTAATAAATGGTCTTTTAAGATAGGGGTTCCCAAACCTAACCCTAACAATTAATCCCCTCTTGAATAATGTTTTTACTTTTCGGTTTCATAGGCACCTATCATTGGCATTACTACAAATTACAATCATTAAAAATGTCAGTTTCTTCCCTTGTTGTTCCAACTTACATAAAATGTGATAAAAATTCAAATATTGACCCCAGACCCCAGTTTAAAAACCAGTGCTCTAAGACATTACAGGACTACTGTACAGGATTTTTGGCATCTAGCAGTGTAGTTGCTGAGCGAAAAGCCCTTTCTAGAGCCAGTGTTTGGTTTGTCAGTTCTGGGCTACTGTAGAAACACGGTGATTCAACATGATGGCCTCCGTAGGAGAGCGCCTGCTCCCTCTGGAGATAAAACCGGCTCATTCTAAGGTAATGAAAACACAATGATCCTATATTCAGGTGATAATACACTAATGAAAAGATCCTCTTAAATGTTACACACCTTTAATTTGTTATTTTCTTTAATATTTTTGGGGCCTTTTATTTCATTTAATCAACAGTGACAGCAAAAGACGGAGAGAGAGGGGATGACACACAGCTAAGGGCCACAGGTCAGAGTTGAACCCATGGCTGCTACAGCAAGGACTCAGCCCTGGTATATGGGCCACCAGCTCTACAAGGTGAGTAACCTTTTCTTTTCTTTTCTAAAAGGAAAAGGACACAGACCATATTTTTAAAATCCTGAACAAGAGGGATCATTTTTGTTGTTAATGGAAAAGTAAAGTTGTCACTGTTATACACATCGTCATTATACACATACAGTAATGTAGTAAAACAATAACAAACGTATAAAAAAATGTGTTAAGAGCAATAGTACATTTTCAAAAAGCCTTATTTGATTAAGGCTCATTGGTGATCACCAGCAGGAAGCCACTGACATATACTGTATTAAAGGAATAGACTACACATAATTATATAGCTGTATAGTTTTTGGATGATCTACAATTGTACTCAAAACACATTACACAGTATTTATCTTGAATATAGCCCACACCTCCCATGACATCAGAGGACTCTGTCAGGTTAGACAGAATGCAACTAAACATTAGCAATAATACCTTCAAAATAAAGGCACATTTTGCATTTGGCAAACTTTCACAGCTATAAGTGATAAATGTTATTTATTTTTCAGTGTATTTAGAAAGACATCACACCAACAAACAAAAAACCCCAACGGAAAAACCTAATTGTAGAGATAAAGAAGAAAATCCAGGAGGTCAAATTATGAAAAGGCGTTTGTGTTCAAGAGTAATGTTGAGGGTGCAGCACACTTTACGTGTTAAACAATCATTCATTTTTGACATTTACTTTTGGACATCTGATCCAGTTAACACCTGCACACTTCCATGTCATTCCAGTTCAGGTAGACCCAATTCATAACTGGTCCAGCTGCAAAAACACAGCTGGAACAAGAACATGCATGAAAGTAGATTGCTGGATTTATATTTTTATGGAGAAAATTAAACATTAAAGTTTCTCATATCAATTTGAAGCCTGTAACTCTCTATACTTAAATGATATACCTATAATAAGTACCTAGAATTGCTGTATTTAAGTATTTGTCTATTTTGCATACAGTCCTATTTACATAGCTAACTTAGATACTGCAACACTGACTAGCGCCACCTACTTTTGAAGAAAGAAAAATCACCTACTACAGATACAACATTTTTTTTTTCACTTTTTATCTACTTTGTGTAATGGCAGTAGCACTATTACACTGGATCTAATCAATCTGGACTTTATTTTGGAAACCGGAAGGTGTCGTTAGCCTTTATTCCAGCTACTTGACGCCGATTGTGTTCTTCAGTGAAAAAAGAAATCTAGCTAGAAGCTTAGCAGGAGATCTGTCAGTCCAAATTACGAGTGTCCCGGAGCCACAGGACCTTCGCTGTTGTCGTTAGGCCACGATCTGCTAAGATGACAGAGCTAAGGCACCGTGGAGCCAAAGACACCGACCCAACGTTACAACAGCAGCCGTCAGAGGACAAGGTAACGTTAGCCAGGACGTCAACCAGAAGCGATGCTAACGCTAGCTAGCAGCTAGCTATCTGAGAGTCCTAATGCAATGTGGCTCGTGTAGCCAGAGAAAAAGTCTCGTTAAATCGATTAAAATGTGTGTTTTTTTTAACGTTGCTTCTCCGTCGGGCACATTTGCTTGCTAAACAGAACAAGAGCTTTAACTTACAAGCTCTTAAAAGCCACTGAAATGCGCCGTACAAATCATCCGCCAAACTACTCGAATTTTAGACTTGATTGGCTGATGCTACTTACGGTCTTCCTGGGTGTGCTTTATTCGTGAAAACAACAGGCAAACCCAAGGCAGAAGTTAGAATTGTACCTAAATTAACCCTGCTTTCTTCATCAAGTATATGCCGACTTATAGAATGGCTCCCCTTGTATAGTAAAAATCATAAAGTTAAATTTGAACCAGTGTGTTTATTTCATACAAAGCAACGCAACAGTAAACTGTAACATATTTGAATGATGTTTGGTAGAAATGTTCTTCAGCTAGCCACACACACACACCGTTGAAAAAGCAAAACGCTCCATGTGGCCTCCTCTAACTGGGGAAGACTGAGATATTACTGTTGACAATTTGCTTTTCCATCCAGTTATAAGTCCACTGTTTGTTTTGGCCTGTTTACTTTACCGCCCGCTGAACGGTCACGGCTCTGTGAGATAGTCCGTGCCATTGTAACAACATTAGCTTGGCGGATCTGACTGCTGGAACAAGAACAGCAGCTGCTTCAGGCACACTGCTGTCGAGCAAGATGTCATCATTTACTTTCGTGTAGTATTCGGACTGAAGGGAAAGGATTGCCCGTGTTGTCAACATGGATGTCAGAGTTGCTGTCCAGGGAATAGTCGGAGCCCAGAAAGGGGCGTGGTAATGGATATGGACGTCTATCCAGGACGAGAGGACATGATTACAGAAAATTGGAGAACAGCTAAAAGCAGATGGTAGAGTAGCTGAGACATTGGCTGCATCCGTACAACAAAGCACACACAGGCCATGTCAGGGCAATGGTATTTACCAGTGAAGCCCACTCAGAGCATTGGCTTCTTCTTAATGTGCCATTTATGATTTCATGTCTTGTAATTGTGATGTATTTCAGAGCAGACTAGCACAGAGTGATTGATGAAGTTGTCTCTGTGCTACTAATGTGGAGTGCTTGTTCTGCAATCAGTACATTACTTTTAACAATAAGGTATAGTGCTATTTAAGTGTCTGGCTGATTGTATCCATCCCATGTCTCTCTGTCCTCATTTAAACAAAAGACACTGACACATAATTTGTCTTCAGTTTGATCTGGTTATTAGATTTGCATTACCTACAAATACAGAATACCCATCCAGTATGTTGTATAACTCTTTATTTGTCAGTAGTTTCTGAAGTAACGCTCCAAAATAAATGATATCTGAATCTTGCATGTCTGGATTGAATACATCTGTGAGATAATCTAAAGCAGTTTTTACCTGTCGAGTTTAATACCAGTGTAAAGAAGAATCTGGCCAGCTAAATCCTGTGTAAAGACAACATCCTGGTTAAAAAGAATACCAGGTTAGCCTGACACTGACACCCACCCCTGCACCTAGAACAAAATCCAAAGCAGGACTGGGGTTATTTCAGTGTGGAGTAAGCTGGGCAGAATGCAACTGCAGATGTGGAGACCATGTTAATTGTGTGTCACAGGAAGTGTCCTATGTGGATAAGGAAATTCAGGCAAATAGTAAATGGTCATGTGGTTTAGGTGAAGGTGGACCACCAGCAACATCACACAACAGTCATCCACAAGATAAAGTTTAATCCTGCAGGACATAAAGCTGTTCTGGTGGAGCCCTTCTTGGGGACATAGCGATCATAACAAGTAAAAGGTGGGGAAACATTTTTGTAAAAAAGGTGATTTATTAAATGTGTTCTGGCCCTGCTATGACCTTTTTATCTGCATCAGCTTTATAAGAACAACTCCAAAGAAAATCCCATTTTATGAAATGAGAATGAGGACGTTAGGAAAGGCAAGTAGAATGAAATTTCTGAATGACACACATTTTGATCAGACTATATAAACATTAAAGCTGCCTCAAAATTCAGCTGCAACACTATATGTGGATACCTGCATGTTGCATCATCTGGTTGTGTACATTTCTAATTAAAAACAGTGTGTGGTCTTTCAGGCGACACGTGTGGTCTTCGGCTATTTAAAATATTTAAAAACAGTTGTTCTAAAATATTTGTAGCTGAGAACCTGAATCACAAGCATCCTCTTTTCCTTTTGGCTGTACTTCTGAAGAACCCACACTTCCTCTGCGTTTAGATGTCTGGGCCTAAAAGCTCGACTACAGACAAACGTAAATGAACTCATCCTCTCACAACTTGCAGATTTAGCGGTGTCTCTTGCCGCTGGTCTACCAGAAAGCATGAAAGGGGTGGAGTGTTGATGTGAAACGAGCGCCTATTTTTAACTCGTGCATCCTGAATGACGGATACTGTCTCCATAGAAACCAGCAGGCAAAGAATGGGTCTGTCTCTCTCTCTCTCTCTGTGTGTGTGTGTGTGTGTGTGTGTTATCTTGTGCATGCTCCTGTATTCAGTTGGTGGATTTTGACAACTATTGACAGTGCATACTATTTTGTGTGTGTGTGTGTCATTTCATTTGAAGGAAAGTCAATGACGTTTTCCAAATCATTGGAAAACTACAGTTTTGGTTTTGTTGAGGTTCAGTTGATCCAGAGAGATGTGGTGGCCAGTTCTTAATCTTAAGGACACTGTAACAAAAGGTGGACACACACTGACTGTTGCAGCTGTTAAATAAAATGTGACCCTGAATCTCAATGTTAAACTGAATCAGCCCAGCAGGGAAAAATGATCTTTTTTGTTATATTGAGAAACTGTTCTAGTTTCAGTGCTGTTCTTTTCCCAACATATTTTCTGTGTTATTAAATGTTTTTTCATCATTAATAATTATGTGGATTTTTAAGTGTCATAACGTGAAAAGTGTCTTTGTTTTAATGTGAAGGATCTTTTTAAAACAAGAAATGTTTATCTTGGATTCTTGGAAGACCTCTGAATGACAAATTGCACTGAATATGGATCTAATTTAGTGTGAATGGTTCTCATTTTATGAATTTGTCATACCACAGATTATCATGGTTATTCAACATAATTGTGATGTGGTTGATTCTGCATTGTCAGTCTTATATAGTGCACCTTTAATCTATTTAAACCTACTACAGGGAGTTTTTAACTGGTTATGAAACAGCCTCAATTTAATACTGATGCCTCTGTGTGATCTATATAAGCACACCAGACCATCAACAGGAAGACTGGCTATTTCCACAGTGCCTGCTACCAGGTCAGATTCGGTCAGATTCCCCTTGAAATCAATGAAACTAGGCGGTAGAAACACTAAAGCTTTTGTCCACAGGGGCCGGCAGAATCGTCAAAAATGAAAGATCCTTGTGCTTTAAGAAAGAGAAATAAAGTCCTTTTTATAATGCTGCTTTAATCTTGGCAGAATGTTCCCACCTAGCCTTTTTGGTATGTGTGCTATCACCATTGTGAAACGGCAAACAATAACTAGCATATTGTCAAAGAAAAAGCTATGATAAATGAATAATACAGAAAATATCCAGCTGCAGTATTGCAGTAGTGTTTAGCTGTTAAGGCCCTACTAGCCTGAGTGGGCGTCACAAAACAGCGAGCCGACCATCTGCTGTATGACTGTGAGGTGAGAACTCTCAGCCTAATTTGGTAAGCAGCAGCAGCAGAGAGGTCAGTGGGGGGGCGGGTGAAAAGTGAAAGGACAGACTGACCTGAAGAAACCGCTCTCTTTTTATCCGACAAGCTGTGCCTGTGTGTAACTGCCAGCGTCGGATGACGTCCATCCTTTGATTGTTGTTGCCGTGGAGAGGCCGAGATCGGTGTGTTTTAAACAGGCCTCCACCAGTAAACAGATGGTTCTGAGAAATCAACAATATGGATGGAGGTGATTTGGCGCAGCGTTTAGCCGCCCACACACAACCCTGCACTGGCAGTCCTGCTGCAGTGTGCTTCACACTGCATGTCCACTCTGATATGATGAACCTGCTGCGGTTTGTTCAGTGACATATCAATGTTTGTTGGAGTACATATCAATTTACAGGACACAGAAAATATATATGTATACACAGTGATTCTACTATAATAATGGCCAGCAGGGCTTTAAAGACATTACACATCTATGGTCCACCCACACAGATGTTTCCAGGGCTGTGTGAGACACATACAAACCCCTCAGTGATTATATTGACCAGACAGTCTGTTTAGTTATGGGTGATTCCACGTGTTGAAGCAGTATACATGGGTCTGTGGTGAGAGAGAAACTCATTGTGTGATTCTGGAGGTGTCTTCTTTTTTCTAAATAACTTTTCTAAAGCAAAGTCTAAGGAATGGACAAAATAGTGCGTTTGTCTGCTGTACATAAGCTACACACGTTAGCTTGCTAACTGGCTTACTACCTACAGCAGCAACCAAGCATTATTTCCAAGCTATTTATATTATGATGTGGTATTGCAGGTTACGTTATAAAAATACCTGTTCAGGACTGCCACTATGAGGGATCCGAGAGGCTAGTATGTTCGAGTTTAGGCTAATGTTAGCAGCTCGGTCCCGCTCTGAGATATCCTGACATTTCTACAACTCACTCTCAGAGTGAAGGGAAACAAACTGATTAAAAATAGGAAGAATAAGGCAGAGCATTTTAACTAAACTTTTATTTTACTATAAAATTACTAAGTAAAAATGAAGTAGCTATGTAGCTTTACCCTACAGTATAACAACAATGCTGCCCCTTATTTATATGACGTCTGCATGTATGAGACACTGGTTGAGTGACCTTTTACCTGGCACATGCAGCTTTAGCACATCGTGTATGTAGGCATATTTAAGTGCTCATTTTAGCTGGAAATAGTGAACAGTGAGCTAGCAACTCACAGCTGCAGCGGATTCAAATGTTCTAGTGACATTTGCTATTCAGCTAACAAATCGGACAGTTGTGGTCTCTGAATCGGCTGCTTTGGTTCACTATTAAGATGTTTGTGTGGTTTATCTGCCACAGTTGTTGTAAACCACGTTGGTGGTGTAACAGTGAAATGACAAAAAGTAAACTGACTACAGAGCTTTTAAATGTTGACCGTGCTGGTTCCGTATGAAGGTTAATTTATGTTTATTATAATTGGGTGCATCATTGCTATTGGCAGGAAATATTAATTTGAATAGCATCGCTTAGGATTTTAGGTACTTGATGATAGTAGTAGGAGTAGAGTATAATTGAGATTTTCAGTTTATTTTCTCATGTTTCAGCATGTAGGTTCATAGTATACTTTATGGAACTGCAGTATAAGCAAAGCTGATTATTACTGCCTGATTGTAGACCAAGGAAATATTGTATTTGGATAAAATGCTCATAGTGTAAGATTGTAGTGTGAAATAAAATTACTGCACACATAGTATCATATTAGTCACAACAGTGTAGGCCAGAGTGTCTGCTTCCTGCTGCATTCATTCTCATCTCTACTTCTACAGTCAGATGTTAGTTTGATTCCAAATATGGTAAAGTGAAATCATGAGAAATGTATTTTGAGGACACTTCTCAGCTGACACAGGAACTGTTATTGTAATAAAGTACTGGAGGAAACGCTACAAGATGTGTTGTAAAGGGCAAAATACCAAGTCTAACCTAGATACCATATCATGTGATTTTGTTTGAGGCCATCACTGTGGCATGGTATTTACTTATAGTTTGACTGTTTGACTTGCATTTACATTCCTTTAGCCACACAGGCCCTGTGTTGCTGGAAATATGTAAATACAGTCATACGTTGGATAGTTGCAAAAAGAAGAAAAATAAAACATTTGGGGCCCAATTAATTAAATGTATCATGTGAATATCTGCATAAAAGTTATTCTTTAACTACTACTATATGTTCAATCAGAATCTAAGATGGAGCCAACTAAAACTTAAATATGTTTTCAATGAAAAGACGAAAGAGCTGCTCATGTTTGTTGTGATTCTGTGGTTGCACCTGTTGTCCTGCCACCGCAGCACCATATTGTAGCTCAGTTTCAGTGTCTCATTTCTCCTCTGTCTGTTTGATTGTCAGGGTTCAGACGGTGAGCTCAAGGTGGAAAAAGATGGGGTGTCAGACAGTGAGTCCAAAGTGGATTCAGGAGTCCCAGAGGTGCCAGTCTCTGCTGATGACACCCCCGAGGTACTAAACAAGGCCCTGTCTGGACTCTCCTCAAGGTACTGTTGTTCCATGAGTCACCACATTGTTCTGTGTAGAGCTGTCAACTTAAGCAAGAGGCCCCTGTTTTTCTTACACTTTACAGCACTGCTACACAGGCAGAGGTGCCATGATTCATAGAAAGTAATCCTTCTTCACACATGGTGTTTTGTGAACAGCAGATGTGAATCATGGTTGAACTGTTGAACTTGTATTTCAGGCAAACACATTAATAGTATCAACCCTTTGATGTCGCTGTATGAGACCCAGTAACACTACTGTTTTACCACTGGAATACAGATACATTTTAATTATCAACACACATAAAAGCAATAGTATTCATCAAGGTGTCTTGAAGAACGAACATGACAAACTCGGCAGAGCTTGAGGTATTCTGTTATGCAATTTGAATGCACACCTGCCACCTCATATCACTTCATTTTACTTTGTCATTAAACTGGATGGTAGTTTGTTTTTATTTACCTCTGTGTTTTTTGTGTGTTCCATCAGATGGAAGAACTGGTGGGTGCGAGGTATCCTCACCCTAGCCATGATCTCCTTCTTCTTCTTCATCATCTACCTGGGCCCCATGGTGCTTATGATGATTGTGAGTACAAACTAAGTGGTGCTGTGCAAAAGCTGTAAATGTAAAATCATGTTGTTGTTTTTTTTGTTTTTTTGTAGCTTCTTGTAGTTTGTACTCATTAACATATTTATATTTGAGGTACAGGCACAGTTAATTTTTTTAATGAGTTGTAAAATGTATTGAGGTTCATAATTGCGCTCTGAAGCATATTCAGTTGAGCGTTGAGCACACAAATGAAAAACATAATCTTGTGGATTAATGGGATCCAGGCTCTGTAATAACATGCAGGATTGCTGCTCCTGTCATCTGGGAATTCTCTGAAAATAGGCCTGTCAGCCATTTTGTGTCACTGGGACACTAGGACATATTCATACACACGCACACACAGAGTTGTGATGCTCCAGTAGTTCTGTCCCCGGTGACGCAGTGTTTCTCTGTGCAGGTCCTCTGCGTTCAGATCAAGTGCTTCCAGGAAATCATCACTATTGGCTATAGTGTGTACCACTCCTACCACCTTCCCTGGTTCAGGACGTTGAGCTGGTGAGGCCAAACAAAAACACAATCACACACACATGCACAATATCACACATTTTGTAGAGGTCATGAACGCAGCAAATATCCTTGCCAGCTTCTTTCTTATTGTGTTGTCTCATGTTTTATTTTGTTGCAGACTTCCTGAGGTTTGTTTTCTGACCTGTTTAACTCTTGAGTAGGTTGTAGATTATTAAGCAAATCATCAAAAATAGCAAAAAATACTGTAAATCATCAGTGCTGTTTGATTTTAGCAATAGTGCTGTACAGTGTAGTATGATAGATAACAGTCCTGACATTCACTATGCCATGAACATCAAAGCTGTATCCCATTAGTCCTTTTGACCTGGGAAATCATTTGGCCTTCTAACATTTAACATAGAGGGGAGTGAGTGACTGAGCAAAGTTTATTCACATGGTAGACCATTTTTCTGCAGGCATACTGAATGCAGAGGCTGATTAGCTGCTGCTATCATTAAGCTATGAGACATACATTTTTTTTCCACACCTCCACCCCACAGGTACTTCCTGCTGTGTGTGAACTACTTCTTCTACGGTGAGACCGTGACAGATTACTTCTTCACACTGGTGCAAAGGGAGGAGCCGCTTCGCATCCTCAGCAAATACCACCGCTTTATCTCCTTTGCCCTCTACCTGACAGGTACAGACACTGAGCTTCATCTGAAAATAAAACCTAAAAAGTCCTCATGTCTGTGTGTGCAACTTCCACTAACGTATACTAAGATTTCACAGCTATCTTTTCATGTTGTAAATCATCATGCCATAGTGCCACAAAAGTCATCCAGTATAGACTCATATCATGAAATGTTTTGTAAGTTTTTTGGGTAAAGTCACATGTGGGGTGCCACAAAACAGTAACAGTCTTCACACTATTACCCAACTGCAGTCACACATAGGTTGTCAAATGAATACTTTCTACTAGAACGTTTTTTTGTGGCCTAATCCACAGTACTAAATATATCAGTGTACATTATTAGGTGAGATAGTTCAAAGTTGCTTAATTCAGGCACCATGCTAACTGGAGATGTCCCACTTCCTGTACTGAAGGTTGTCAGGTAGTTAGTCAGTGCTACTAAAGGCTGGTGCCAAACAGGATGTGGAGAGGAAGACAACACCCTGACGCTTTCTGCTTCTTGCCTACTAGTCTCAAGGTGAAACTGAAGGGCCCGGTTTCTCACACTGTCTTTGAGCAGACAGGCTTTGAAGATAATGGCATGTCAGAAAATGCTCAAATATGCATTGTTTTGGAATAACATTTTTTAAATATCTAACCTGGAACAGAGTAAATGTCAATGCAAATCCTCCCAGCTCCCTAGGGTCTACAGGATTGAGCTGCACAAATAACCACAATATTATTGAAATCACAGTATGGCCAAGTGTAATATCCAAGTTGCAGGAAGCTGCAATTAAAATTTGCTTCAAAACAACATTATAATGAAATATTGTAGCTCTGCAGATATATCCTGTCTTACAAAGCCCTTTTGGTCTGACATATTCTCTTCTTGCAACATCCTCTCCTCGCCTCCATCTTGTACACAGCATGAAACAAAAGGCTCCAGCAATCTTGAGTTACTTGCCGCACATTAACTCTGGGCTTTGTCTGAAATAGGTCAAGCTAAATTTAGTTGTGTTTGACCAAAGATGACCGGGATTCTGAATGAATTAATCTCCCTCCTCTTATACTTCAGTCCAGATTGTGTCTATATGAAGTATTTCACACATTATTTGTCATGTTGTTGCAGGTTTCTGCATGTTTGTGCTGAGTTTAGTGAAGAAGCACTACCGCCTGCAGTTCTACATGGTAAGTGGTCCCCTGCCTCCTCCTGGCCTCCAGCCTCAAGGAAGCTGGGTTATTGATGAGGGCTGGTTAAAATACAGGCAAGTGTATAGAGAAGAGTGGGCCAGAGGATTGCTCTAATAACAGTTGGTGGCGTTAACCAGAGAACCAATGGTACAGTAAAATCATTGCTTGGCAACGCAAAGAGCGCCCAATCATGTAACACAACACCCATCCTTTGGATAAGTCCAATGAGCCCTACGATGACGAAACCATGTCTCGGGTAAGCACAGCCAACACAAAGAAGTGTCTTTGCTCACATATGGAAAAATAGCTTTTCTTCTTGTGTCAGTAGAATTTATGAAAATATTCATCCTGTAAAGGGTTTGCAGATCAGTTTTACAGCTACCCATACTCAAACATTCCCCATATCTAGACAGCTAGTCCTCAATGTTGAGGAGGAGACACTTCCTCCACCCACATTAATCACAGTTGGATTTAATCAAGCTGTTATCTGGTCAGCTGTTGCTGCTATCAGATTATGTCCTGTTACAATCCACATAGTAGCAAATGTTGTTACTATATGTTCATGTTCACTCTGCCAAGAATTATTTAGAATAAAGCCATAAAACAATCATGAATAATAAGGTTTGAATTGAAAGCTAATTTAAATGTATTTTAGTGGAGACAAACGTGTTTAATCTTGTTTGTATTGTGTCCACAGTTTGGTTGGACCCATGTGACTCTGCTGATTGTGGTGACTCAGTCTCACCTTATCATTCACAACCTGTTTGAGGGGATGATCTGGTAAGTGACCAGTCCTTTAGCTCATCTAATACTGTACAGTTGAGCTAAATCAGCAGTAAAATGACTTTTGACTCTTGGATGTGTGCTACAAGTGAAATCAAATTACATTGAAATTCAATTCTGTTCATTTGTAGGCCATGAGCATGTACAGACAATTAGCCAGTTAAAATCAAATTACTTGTTTTATAAGACATATTTTCACTCTGATGTAAACGCTCCTTTTCCTGAATAGGTTCATTGTGCCAATTTCCTGTGTGATCTGTAATGACATTATGGCCTACATGTTTGGTTTCTTCTTTGGACGCACCCCTCTCATCAAGGTTGGTTATCTTACGGTTATTCTTAGCTTAATAAACCGTTAATCAATGATTCAACAAATCAAACTCACATGATTCTCTTGAATATCTACCCACTGTCCGAAGATTGTTCTTCTTTCCACTGCTGGTTGTAATGCCGGGGCCAGTCAGTGCTGTGTCCAACATGATCAGTGCCTTTGGATGGGGTGTGACTTTATTGTATTGTGTGGTACATGGTGATATATTACTTTATCATATTATCCTCTGCAGCTGTCACCTAAGAAGACATGGGAGGGATTCATCGGTGGGTTGTTCGCCACCATTGTGTTCGGCATCATGGTAAGAAAGGATTTTTATCTCATGCCTCGAGAATTCGGCATTTTGTCTGTTCTGATCCCCACCATAGTGTACCATTTCAACCACTCAGAAATGTGGTTTCAACTGGGCTCCTTTTTAAAATAAGAGCCGCAGGCCAGTGTTGTGACTGCAGAGTAACCGAAGCCTCTCTCCTCCCAGCTCTCCTATGTAATGGCCGGCTGTCGCTACTTTGTGTGTCCGGTGGAATTCAACAACGACTCCAATAGTTTCCAGGTGGACTGCGAGCCATCAGACCTTTTCCAGCTCCAGGACTATGCCCTGCCCGGGATCCTGGAGTCTGTCACTGGATGGGTAAGACCACCTGCACTCCTCCTGCACTCCTCCTGCTCTCTCTCTCTCTGTCTCTGTCTCTGTCTCTGTCATCCTTTTGACTTCACTGTGTCTCTTTGCATTACAGCTATATGTAAGAAAGAAATAACTAGTGCAAAGTCACTATGTTGAGCCAGTATGTCACAATTTAAGAGGGATCCAAGATATTCATTGTATTTTGATTTTGGACTTGGACAATGCCTGACTAATGTATTACAGCTCCTCTGTAAAGGTGAAGTAAATCATAATTTGTATTTATATTAGGACCTAGTTGGTAGTTTCAGCTCACACATGGACAACAGATATCCTAAATCCTGTTAAGAAATGCAAAAAGTGTAAAAAGTGTGGATGAACCCTGTATCAGGCAGTCCCAGATTAAAACGCAGGTCTCTGTTCTGCTCTAACACTTCCTTCTTGTCTCCCCAGACCACAGTGCGTCTCTACCCGTTCCAGATCCACAGCATTGCTCTCTCCAGCTTTGCCTCCATCGTGGGACCCTTCGGCGGCTTCTTTGCCAGCGGCTTCAAGAGAGCCTTCAAGATCAAGGTAGGGATGAAGGACTGCACTTGCACCGTCTGCTGCAGTGTTTATTTTAATGTTTGCAAACTTAACTGCAGAATATTCCATGTATTGTGCATTGTTGTATATTATGTTTAAAAGAGCAGTCCAAACACATGTTCTGTCCTTTGTCCTTTCAGGATTTTGCCAACACTATCCCGGGTCATGGTGGCATTATGGACAGATTTGACTGCCAGTACCTCATGGCCACATTTGTTAATGTCTACATTGCTAGCTTCATCAGGTAAGCACACGACTCTATGAAACAATCACACTTGACTATGTTAATTATGGCCTGTTTTCAGATTTAGTCTCTGACACTCCTCATGTGCAGTTTGCAGTAATAACAGTGGAAAACATCACACATCAAAATTAGTGGTCATGTTTTAAACAGCGGGTCCTCGATTTCAGACAGTTAGACGAGAGGCTTCTCATTTCTTGCCGCCTATCATTGTTTTTGCTGGCTGATACTTGGACAAGCAGCTGCATGGTCCGTTTTCTGCTTCATTTTTTATATTTTACTTCTACAAGAGAAAAGGCTCTGAGAACGAGCACTAACTGAAATGTACTGCTATCTTGCGTAACAAGTTCGGCTGGAGTTACGGTCTAAACTTCCCCAAGTTCAGCCATTAACAGAAGCTGTACACAGCTGCTAGCGTTAGACTGAACTTTACATTAGCATCCTGGGCTGTGTGCCACACAGTGGGAGGAATTCTACTCTAATGATGTACCAGTCCTGAACTTAAGCTTTTGCTAACGTAACCTTTAACCCCACAAAATAATGTTCGCTAATGATTAGCTAATTCTTAGCCTTGGAAATGGTTCCTCCTGTAGGCAGTAAGCTAGTAAGCAGGGAATCTTAACGTCTGCAGCTTACATTAGAGCAAATACACTGGATACATTTTGGATACAGGATGTTATGTTTGATTATCTTCTCCCTCCCCTCAGGGGCCCCAACCCCAGCAAGGTGATCCAGCAGCTCCTGGCCCTCCGTGTCGATCAGCAGCTCCACATCTTCAACTCCCTAAAGGCTCACCTGACAGAGAAAGGCCTGCTGCCCGCCCTGGAGGACGCCACTGCCTAGAACCTCCCACACCCCCACACCGGCTCGCCCTGAGAAGGAGACAAGAGAGGAGGGCAGCAACCCGAGGGCCCCGCGCGGCCCCCGGAGCTCTGGGAGACTGGCAGTGCTTTGTGTGTGAGCGAGAACACATCCGAGAAAAACACAAAACGAACAACAAAAAAAAACTACAGCCGTGGGTCATTCCATTTCATTTGGGTGTGAGGGTCGAGCATGTTTGTGTTCATACAGTGTGTGAATCATGTTTCAGACACCAGTGTTTTCAGGTTGAGTTAGTGAATTACTGTACTGTTACACATTTCCATAATAGCCAACTTGTATCTTTTCACACTGTTGAACAAAGTGATGGTCAGCTGTACATTTCTACCTGTATACAGGGTAACCTCTATATACCTATTAATGTGTGTTTAATATTTTATTGTTCTTTTTTGTTTTTGTTTTAATGCACTGCTCTCAACCCAGTTACTTACTGTATTGTTACCCAAGCTACACCCCCCCACCCCCTGCCAAAATTAAGTTTTAATTTTCTTTATCGTGATTGTTTCTATTTATACATAGATGGTTTTTATATTTGGTATGTTCTATTATATCTTAATGTCGTGTCTGTTTTATTCAGCCTGAAGTCACCTTCGCCTTCTGCCATGTGCATTTATGTGTGTGTGTCTTTTTCCTGTGTCTTCACTGCCATTCATCACTCAGCTGGTTGGTTTTGTGCTGTAAGGAGCAGATAGCAGTGCTCCACACATAACTGTGTTTAATTATGAATCAAAAGATAATCTCTGAAGGCCAGTGCAACTCTTTCAGCAGAATAGTCACAGTCTCCCCTCACCTGGTTGCCCTTTGATGGCAAAAGCAGAACGATTCTCAGAGATGGAACACAGTCGAGTTCTATTTATTATTAACGACTTGTTCTCCGCTAATACTTTTTTATCTTCAACAAGGAGCGGTTATAGGTTTTACACATGTTCAGTAAGGTGGCGGGGGCTTTATTGCTTCTGTTTGTGACATTGTTCGGATGGGACATGCCAATATGTGCTTCAGCTGTGTTGTAACCTCGCCGTGTTCACAGCTTCAGAGCAGAAACCCACTGTCACTGGTTATGCATTTGATGTTCAGGTTTGAGTTTGCCAACACAGTAAGCTACTGTAGCAGCAGTCAGTGCTGAAGAGGTTTCACAGTGGGACTGTGATATTTATACCACTGGCAAATGTTTGTTTGATTTGATGGTAAAATATAAAAGCTGAAGATTCTCCAGTGCTGAGTTCATTTCTGTTTTTTGAATTTGCATTGTAGATTAATTTAGTTTGTAGTTTTGTTGCCGTCTGTTAAATGGGCGGGCATATTAACACATGAAGATGAGTTTCCTTTCACGAGAAGTACTACTCAGCTCGTGAAAGCAGTTGTCTTCTGTGGCGTGAGCTTCAAGTCTGAGAAAATAGGAAATATCCCTGGTGACGTCATAGTGATGTCATCAGGGTTATCTAGGATTAAGTTTGGAGACTTAAGTTACGAAACACCTTCAGGGAGAATGACAGATGTGACCATGTTGCATTATGGGAAATATAGGCTCAAATGTTAAACCCATACTAGGGGCAGAAAGTCAGAATATCTCACCCACTGGTGCATCCTTTTTGACGACGACTTTTAATCTCTTGCAAGTCGCCTAGTGCTACTAAACTTGTGTAAAATCTGCTATGTCAATTATTATTGGGTGGAATATATTTTTATCATTTATTTATTGAAAATATTTTCATTTAACTTTAAGTCCGACTGAGCCATTGATTCCGCTTAAACTCACTACTGACTGAGTTATGTAACTTAGAGTATACAACAGGTGGACAGCGAATGTAGTTGAATTTAAAGACTGTAGAAAGATTTGTAAGACTTTCTTTTGATACTTTTTGGGAAAGGTAAAGTAAATTTGTCCCAAAAGATATTGAAATATTGTTATAAATGAAATAATTAGTCACAACTTTATGGCACAGTGTATGTGGGTCAAGCTCTGACCTGACCATACTCATTAATCAACCAATCACCTCACGCTGGCCGTCATGTCTGTGCACATTCATCATTTTGTTTCTTTGTTTTGAGGAAAGAATTGATTTCTCCTTGTCAGTGAAAGCCATAAGAACTCTGAAGGTTGAGAGACGTACTGTAGGTGTTACTTTAACCCAGGCGCAACTGTTTCTGTACCCAGTGTCATGGAGAAAACAGCAATATGAACATTCATACAGTAGTCAGTGTAGCAGGGATGTGAAGGTCAGTATCTAAGATGTCTCTGTATGGTAATCATACAAAGCACCTTATACACGTGCTATTAATTGCTGTCATTTTGGAAATAATTTACCACCTTAAATGTCCTCTCATCAGAGTTACATATGTTTTTAAGCAGTGGACTCAAATGTTTTGCTTTTGCAATCAGTTTGTAAGAATTGACTTTTTTTCAGATGGAATGAACCACTGTATAAACCAAGCATGACTTTACACCTGTTTCCCCCATATTCCGTCCATTCATATTTTTATTGATGTCATTTTATTCATGTCTTCGGTTTGACTTCTCTGATATCCAACCAGTCTTACGCTTATCTTTCTTGAAGTATTTATTTTATTTACTGTAAGCAAATTAAACCTTCTCAAAGTTGCTATATTGTACATTTAAGAAGATGTTTAGAGACCTGTTGAGTGTTCTTAAGTATTTTTGGTTAGAGGAATATTTAAAGTATTATTGCCATTATTGAGATAGCACAGAAGTATTGTCTCTGTCTTTTTTTGCTGTGACTTTAGTGCAGTTGGGTGTTTTCTTGGCTCTTCCCCGATAGCTGTCGTGTCAACATCTGTGTCGCAGTGCACGTTGAAGCAGCGCAGATACTCGTAGCACTGTGCTGCATTGTCTCCCCTTGAGTAGACAGGAAGTTTCCAGAAAGTAATGAGTACTGGGTTTCTCAGCATTCGTAGATATCTTATATTTCTCGGGCTTCGCCGCCTCTGTTGGTGGTTTAATGTTTGAGGTTTTAGCCCTGCAGCTCTGTACTGCCATTTCTCTGTCTGGTGTTACAGACGGCCACTAGAGAGAGCTGGAGCTCCTGTGGTCGGCTGATGGAGTGTAGCACTGATGCTGCATCTGAGCAGAAAGGTTTGACCCTTTGCTGCTGCTGTTTGATACATTCCAGTATCCCTAAAGTTATCCCTAATCAAACCTGATTGTTGTTTTATTTTTTTTTGGCACCCAGGAAATGTGCCATTTTTAATCAACACAGTGCCACTTTGCTGTTGCGAGTCCTGCTCAGCCAGGACCCTCTAAAAGGAATGTATGGGAGTTGTGACTGTCCCCACATACTGTAGGCTCCCTTTTGTGGACTTTTTATTTTGTGGTTATAGATCCTCTTACAAAGCTGTGCAATGGTTTGTGTTGAGTTGTACATTTGTCTAGAGAATTGTACTCTTTGATGCTGAAATGTGCTTCGCTTTTGTTCAAAGAAAACTAAAGTAATATTAATAAAAAAAAAGTAAAAATCATGTGGTGTGCTGTGTGTGACCTGGTTCCCTCTTGGTCTTCTTCCCCATTTTGAAATAGATATTCAGTTGATTTCCTCACACCTACAGAACAATTTTATAATAGTGGTTTATTTTTTTTTTGTGATGAGGCAAACAAGCTAACGTCAAGCTTTGATCTTAATATACACTCACTAACTCTCTGCTGCAGTCTTACTTGTCTCATGAGAGCCTGAGCTGTGAAGCAACATGCTTACCGTAGGACTCAAACCAAGCGGGTAAAAACCATTTCCTTTATGCAGACACCCTTGGGGTTTTTTTGTGTGTGTGTGTGACACCAGTCAACATTAGTCATTTGAAAACTCCCCACTAAGCCCAGGAGCCGTGCACCTTTCAGTGAATCAGCTTGGAAGCCATTTATACAGCACTCTACCAGAACAAGTATGAACATGGAAGTAAAGGCAGCATGAGGGGACGCCTTTTGAAGGGCTGAAAAAAAAAGAAGAAGACAGATTAACACACAGGAAGTAGGAAGTGTGATCTGCGATATCTCTACTTTGTGTGTGTGTGTGTGTGTGAGTGTGTATCAATGTGTGTGTGTATGTGCTCCAGTGGGGTGTGAAATAAAACACTGACCCATGCTATGAGTTAAGGACAATGTCTCTGAAACTACCTCGCAACTGGGACTTCAGCACCTTCAAGGCTGAGACAGCTCGGATAGGTAAGCTGGTCGCCGTGCTGCATTCAATGTCAGCAGTGTCAGCACTGTCACTCTTCACATTTTGGGCACTTTAAACTCATTGACAGTAAAATATGTTACAATTCCTAATTTTCCATGAAACCAGGGATGCTACAGAGTAAAAAATTTATCTCAATATAGCACCTTGTGCAATGTGGAGATCCAGTGCACCTTGTAAAATTTCCCTAGCTGCATGAATATTATTTTTGCATGTGAATTAATGGTGTATAGTATAATTATAAGTATAATTGATCAGATTGGTGAATTGATAATGGGTGTTTCATTATATAAAAAGATAAATCTGATAACTAGTGACAGATTCTGCAGTCTCTGGGATTTTCAGGCATGTTAGTGGCTGCTTGCTACGTGTTGAATATGACTAGAGTTGTTGTAGACCATTTTTTTTTAAACAAATCACTGTCATCTAATATAGAAATCATTATTATTTCAATATTAAAACATAGCTTGACATTTAAAACTTTAAAATGTGTTTCTTAAGTCACTCAAAAGTAACTCCCAGTGGCTGCAATAAGACAGTGACCAACCTACATCTGTGCGTGTGTGTGCGTGTGTGCGTGTGCATGTGTATGTGCAAAACTATGTGCAGTCATGTATTTTAAAGTAAAGCCATACAGCGGTCTAGACTTACTAATACCGTGCTTACCACCATGCTTTGCATAGGGTGGAATCAGTGCAATTACATGCCCTGTTTCCTCTCACGCTCAGATGGCACAACAGTTGCAACATTCACATGAAAAAGAGGTTTTCACACAAGCAGCGACTGGATAAATTCTCCACAGAACAGTCCTGCCATTGTTCATAGCACACATCAGTTTTGCTCAGTTCAGCTCTCTAATCATTTTTACAATCAGTGGTACTGGTTGTTCAGCACTGTGGAAGGAAGTTGCTGCCTGTAGTGCATTTATTTTATCTGCTTCATATTGACTGAATCATTATCATGCCCTTGCTTGTATGAAAGCATAACTTCCTGAAAGTTGGTGACCCCCTCATGATTCTTTTACTGTGAGATGTTTTGTGGATTATGACAGACTTTATACCCTGGAACTGGAGTGACGCAGGCTTTCAGCAGGAAACTGATGCAAGAGCTCAGTTTCTGCAAGAGCTGTATGTAACTGTGACTGTGCCCATATATATATGTACATGTGTGTGTACAGTCATACTGCACTTGTCCTTTTGTAAGATTTCAGTCAGTGTGTAGGAGTGAATGTTGATTTTACAGAGGACAAACAACCTGACCCTGACTCTTCCTGATGCAGTAAAATCAATCTGCTGTTTCATGCAGGATTACAGGAATAGTTTGACATTTTGTGAAATGATTTGCTTACTTGTCGAGAGTCAAATGAGAAGATCGATAACACTCTCAAGTCTGAGCCTGGCGATGACGGAAGGTAACAAAATCCACCTACTAGCAACTCTAAAGCTCACTAACACATTATATCTTGTTGGTTTAATCATCAAAAACACAACTCAACTCAACTCAACTCAACTTAATTTATATAGCACCTTTTACACAGACATGCAGCCAAAAGTGCTTCATATAGAAGTGTAAAAAAATGTTTTTATTATGAGAGGTTATGTGCTCTTATGATGTGTTAATTAGCTTATGAACTTTAGAGGTCTCACCTTATCAAGTAGTAAATGAGAAATTCTTTAATTCTTTAATTATTCTATACATTATATAAAAAGCCTCCATGCAATCAGAGGGGAACTCTAAATATCAATCTCCTCTGTATCAATCTTGATGTGAGTCAGATGTAAGTGTTGCACTTGACATAAACTGTTTTTGATTGTGGGCACTGAACACATCTTTGAGGTGCAGTGTAACGGTAGGTTCATCGCAAATTGAGGCCAGTTTAAAGGAGCTGTGTGTTTGTCGGCCATGGGTGTGGTGTGACAGCCTCTGTGTGTGGGCTCATGGTTCCTCAACAGCATTTTAACTTTCCACTAATCAAGGGAGGGTGATGTTATTGAAATTAGACCAAAGGATTGTCAAACCTCTAGGTGGAGATCTTCAAAGTGTCGCTGGCCCTCCGGCAATGATGTGGCAGCTTCCTGTTTACTGCAGTGTGGCCTTCTTCTTCTCTTCTCCTCTATCATCTTGCTTAACAGGACACAGTGAATTTAAGAACAACTGAGCAAGTGGGCTCAATCTCAATCCAGCTATCTCTGCAGTCCTACCACCCTGCTTGTTATTCAGCCCATCTCTATCTGACTCTGTCTTCTCTGGGCCACGTAGACCTCTGCTTCTGTTCTTTAGTCCCTCCATTAAACCATCACATTGTGGCCCCTAACAGGCACACAACTCTAAGGTTAACAACTGCCAGTCAAGGGTGACATTTTTCAAAAAATCAAAAATAGGATGTGTCGGTTTCAGTTCAACTTAACCCTACACAGAACTTAATCTGACCTTTCTAGCATATTGTTTGATGGTCTGTCTCTTGCAGACCACCGTGTTATTTGTGTAGAACAATCACAGCTGCATTCATGCATCTTCCACAGGAAACTGGTCAGCTCAGACCAGTAATTTCCTTTCACTCTAAAACTGTAAAGGTGAGGAACAAAAATAGGTTACAGTGAGGAGGCCCCTCAGCTTTGATAGGCTGATACATATTCATATAAAAAAAGAGGAAGTGCTGTGCTGCAGTTGAGTGCAGCGCTGATGTTTTGGTAACATTTCACAGCACCGGCTGTGAGACAGTATCTTAGCGACTGTTGCTCATGACAGTTTTACCAACTGCTTTCTCGTGGTGTCTGGCAGCACGATCAAAGAGTGTGATACCTGGAGAGGGAGGCCCTGGCCCGGGCTCACCGCGTTCCCCCAGGTCAATGGAGAGGCCACTGAAGGCTGGCTGGCTCAAGAAACAGCAGAGGTCCTTAGTCAAGAACTGGCAGCAGCGTTACTTTGTGCTAAGAGGAAGCACTCTGACCTACCACAAAGATGACAAGGAGACGACTGTCCAGGTGAGACATTGGGAATTCCGTTCTTTTTAGTCTTTCATAATGCTATTATTTTGATTTTGATGATGTATATTTGTCCTCCTTTTGTCATTTGTTAGCATAAACTGCATGTGCACATTATTTCAATAGCAGTTCACAGAAATGTCACATATTTCAAAATTAAAAGGCTGCAATAACTTTTTGAATTTGGCACATGTATACTTATATGTGAGGATATGACTGTCATCAAAATCATGTCTATGTCTCAATTACATATTGATGTCTTTCACATTTGGTGATGTTAAGTAATAAAAGCAAACCAGCATTTTCTTAAAAAACAACATTTAGTGATCTAAAGCTAATATTTTTAATATTAAATGTCAGATTAATTCTTGGGTTAATAAGAAGTGTGTCCTTTATCATTTCCAATCAACACCACAAACACTCACTTAGCTGTGTGGCTAACTGCACACTTCCTGTCAACAAAACAAGTGATGCTCAAAGCCTCACAAGAGAGGCCTCCTGCCATTGAAAGTCTTTTTTTATACTGTGTGTTTTCTGTTCATCTCTTTAACACTGAATGACCATCCAGCCAAGTATAGTCTTTGTTATCATGCTGTAGCTCTGTCTACAGTTTGTGGGACAAACAGAAGATTCACACAACTTCATCCTCCCTTTACATGTCGTTTGCAAACTTCGAAAAAAGACTGTTACACTCCATAAGTGACATTACTAGCTGGGATTTCAGAGGAGGCTACACATGTGCAGGGAGCGTAGTCAAATTTGCAGAGTATATTAATGTGTAAAATATCAAAAACAAACAGCATGTATAAAATGTGTCAGGGTCACTTTATGCTGCCAAGTTTGGCTTCTGTTTTGTTCTGTCCACTTCTCCTCTTACATTTCTCCCATCCTTTTGATTTACTTCCCGATTAGAACTGACCTGCAGTGAATGACACAGGAAGGGAGAGGAGCATTTATAAAAATGTGAAAAAAGAAATATATTCCCCATTCAGGGACACTTAACCACGGCAGGCATATGCCTGCCACATCATCTGGTTGATGGATAGACTTCAAAAGCTACAAAATTATTACTTAAGCAGGAACTCCAAAAGCCCAAGAGTCATTTCTACTTTTGGCTTTGGTTTTAAACAGAAAGAAACAAATTGGTGGAGATTGGTGTACTGTATGTGCTTTAAAGGTCTAGTGTGTAACACTTAGACGGATCTATTGACATGGAATATAATAAGATAAACCAAACACTGGCTGTAGATAGGGCCTTTTAGTCCTTTAAAGGTCCAGTGTTTAGGATTTTGTGTCATTTAGGGGTGAAGTTGCACTACTCAGCTACTGTAGAAACATGATAGTTCAATATAGTAAACTCCTGCGTTGTCTGTAGTTATAAAATGCTCATTCTAGGGTAACAAAACATGATAACTCAGTGATTATTTACCAATGAAATCATAGTTATGCATAATACATTCAACTTCTGCCAATAGATCCTCCTAAATGTTACACACTGGACCTTTAATGTAAACAGTGAACTCACATGAACATGAGTAGACCTTAAACCCAGTAATGACAGATCAGCAGTGAACACTTTCTTTTGTTTTTCTGTATGTTTCTGCAAAACCTCTTGTGATACAGTTTTGCTACATAAAAAAAAACTGTGCTACACATGCAGTGAAAATACATGCTGAGACCTTTACTACTTTAAAAAACTACTACTTACTAGTAAACTGTAAAGTGAACAGTTAATATTAATGGTAGAATATGGTGGTCTATGAATGAATAGTGTGCATAGAATGCATAGTGGTTGGTTTTTGACAGAATTCTGGTATGGACATTACACTAATTTTTTTTTTCCCATGTGTTTGTGCTCTTGTTTTTTGGTCTCCAGGGGGTCATCCAGCTGCGGTTCAGTAAAGTGAATGAACTCCCTCTGAGCTCAGATGACCCTGGGAAATACCTTTTTGAGATCATACCACGTAAGCATGGAACCGACCCTCTAAAAGAGAGCAAAACTGACTTTATGCATATTTATTCCAGCACGTAAAGATAGTTTTGGGTGTAACAGTGGTACATGGCCTCCCTTCATTGCCTTGTATCATCTTATTTATTCATCTTAATAACTTACAGGACAAACCTTTGTTAAACGTTTCCTGTATGTCATTGTTTTTAAGTCTCTTCCCAAACTGCGTTACATGTCCCTTTCTGTCTATCTGTTTAAGACAGCATAGTAGGAAGTGAAAAAATACCAAGAACTGATATGATATCGTAATCTACTTTGGAAATCTATATATAGATTTTACATTTTCTGACATGCGTATCTGTCCTACTAAAGGTTTTGCTTTACTAAGATTTTTTCCAACAATACCCATCATTTCACAGGTGTAACTGGAGACAGGGAGCGATGTCCATATGTGTTCATGGCAAACTCCCAGAGTGACATGGAGGAATGGGTCCGCACTCTGCGCAGAGTCATTGGAGTACCAACGAGTGGAGGTTCAGTAAAACCTTATATTGTTATGGAAACTGAGGTTATGTATGACACTGCAACTATCCCATTTGACCAGACTTTTCTAGAAATTAAAGGAACAGTTGTACATTTTGGGAAATACATTTATTTTCTTTCTCTCTTTAGAGATAGATGAGAAAATCAACACCACTGTCATGTCCGTATGCTAAATGTGTAGCTGGGGCCAGCAGCTGGTTATCTTAGCTTTGCATAAAGACTGGAAACAGCCAGGACAAGCTAGCCTGGCTCTGACGAAATGCTAAAAAAATCTGCCTCACCACAACATGTTGTTTTTTGTAGAGATTGAAGAAATTAGAAATAATGTTTCAATCAGTGAGCTTTAGAAGAGCTCGTAGTCGTTTTTTGTTTCCTTTGGACAGAGTCAGGACAGCTGTTTCCATTCTTTTTGCTAAGCTACTATAAGCTAACCAGTTGCTGGCTTGTGGCTTCATATTCAGTGTACAGACACAAGAGCGGTATCAGTCTTCTCATCTAACTCTCAGCAAGCAAAAAACTGCCGAACTATGCCTTTAAAGTTAATGAATAAAAACAGGCACCAGCCTACAGTATTTAGAAAGGCCATGTAAAAGACGGACCATAATAGTGTTTATTTGAATGTGCAAAAATTATTTCTGATAATACTGTTCGGACATTACTGGTCCAAGATCTCATGTCTTATCTCTCTGCAGTGTTTGGAAAGGGTCTGATGGACATAGTAACATATGAGCAACGGTTTGGGCCTCAAATGGTGCCAATCCTGGTACAGAAGTGTGTGGAGTTCATCAAAGAACATGGCCTGGATGAGGAGGGCATCTTTCGCCTCCCGGGTCAGGACAATGCTGTCAAACAGTTCAGAGATGCCTTTGATGCAGGAGAGAGGCCCTCCTTCCCCAGGTAATGCACTCATGGTACCCTCTGTACAGACTAGAGACCATGTGAACCAGAATCAGAACTAGTCATGAGTTCTGTATTGTCTACCTCAATATTACAGCAGTTGTTTAATGGAAACCCTTAACTGAACTGATTGATTGGTAGTAGTACTGGTTTTATGCATATGTATGTATATGGCATTTATGAAATAAGGTCATTCTGGTTATTGAAATACTGAGTATAAAGTGGTTAGAAAGTGGTTTATTCATCAACAGAGTCACACATCTCAAAAACCACTCAGGACCAAAACTGTCCTTGGAAATCATCATCTCTCTTTTAACCTGGTTGGTAAAAGTGTGAGCTTAAGAAAGTTGAACTGCTATATAAGGAGAAAAACAACCTCAATCAATCCACAGCATCAGCTTTTTTTCTGAGAAAGCAAGGAGAGATGAGAGAGATACAGAGTGGCTGATAGATTTCTGTCTGCTAAGAGCTGAAGGCGATACCACATCCTGTTCTTTGGCAGGCACACAGGAGGAAGCCTGTATTACTCAACATCACAAGGTCCTCTGACAGAGCACTGTTGATTAAAACATCCATTTAGCCTAATGTGTTTGTCTGTAATCCAGTGTGAGCACTTTCAAGGAGCAGCCAGAATGGGCTACAGGGAAATGCTTTATGTCATATTTCAGGCCAAAAATAAAACAAAGAATACAAGATGTACTGTTTTCCCCTTGAACTGAGTCCAAACTACAAAATTGAATCAAAGCCTGCTGTACTAGCTTCCAAAAGCCCAAAACGAGAACACCTAAATCCTAGAGGACATTGTAAAAAAGATGTTTATACTATATCCCAACATGTAAATGGGTCCAGTAAAATATTTACAAAGATGAAAAAACTCTGATGAAGCTCTATGCTCAGAGTAAACACCACAGCACACAGTCAATAAGTGTAGAATACAGTGAACATATTTTATTAGATTTAGGTCAGGTCAAAGGCTTCCATACACAGCATGTATGAGCAAAGTGCATATCTATGATGTAGTGTGCAGGCTCCAGTTTTTGTAAAATACATGCTAACTCATGCAGCTAACACTGGCTCCATTTACTGGCAAAACTATACACTGGTCTTACACTGGTCTTCTGTGCGTCTAATTGTTAAATGCCATTTAAACTGTAAGTCGATGTCGTTCATTGGATGATATATGTCATTGCTGCAGTGACACAGATGTCCACACGGTGGCATCACTGCTCAAGCTGTACCTGCGCGAGCTTCCTGAGCCTGTGGTGCCCTGGACTCAGTACCAAGACTTTTTGGACTGCACTAACCTACTGGACTCCAGCAGCTCGGCGGTATGCTTTATTTTATTTTAAAAAACTACAATATGTCTGTCATCTGAGTGTATTTGTACTCGAAGGAGAGCTTTTGTGATATTTTGAGTGTGTCCTATAACCTCTCACTCATGTGTCCTCTCAGGGTTGGGAAATGTTGGAGAAACAAATCACTCTTCTCCCCAAAATGAACTACAACCTTCTCAGTTATGTCTGCCGGTGAGTAGAAGCAGGAGCACAAAGCATTATGGGACATTCCAGAGAAAAACCTTGGTGGTTAGAGAGAAGATTTCCATAATTGGAAAGATACTTGCTAACGTGTCCTTGAGCAAGACATCAACCTGATCTCACAAACCCTTCTGCTTCAGTAAAATGCTGTTCAGAGATCAGTTTGAGCTGTTTGCTGATTGTGTCTTTTCGTTTCCCAGGTTTTTATTTGAGGTGCAGCTGCACTCCAAGGTGAATAAGATGAACGTGGAGAACCTAGCAACAGTGATGGGCATCAACCTGCTCAAACCTCAGATAGAAGACCCCATCTCGGTGATGAAGGGTAAGAACCCATCATTGATGTGTCCTGAACCAAGATGTAGACACATCTGTGTTTTCCTATTACCTTTTAATGCAGCCATGAAAACTGTATTGTTCACAATCTGGAAATCGCCCTGAATCCAAATGATAGCATTTTTATTAGGCAGTGAAAATGACATGTGGCAATAATATGTGAAATAAAACAGCCTTTTACAGTTGTGTCTTTTTTCGATACACTGATGAACTTACATAAACTTTCTATTTCAATAATGCTGGCACTACTACTGACATACCGTATTTATGTCAGAGTGTATGTATCTGAGCTATACAAAATAACAGCAAAAGTAAAAAACTATTTCTGCTCAAGTAAATTTTCAGAAGACTGAAGATAGTGAATCAAGAATATACACAAGAACCTGCAGATAAGGCATTTTGATCATAATCGTTTCACATTTGTGTTTGTTTTTCTTCGCAGCGACTCCTCAGATCCAGAAGCTGATGACAGTGATGATCAGACAGCATGAGACTCTGTTTCCCCTCTCCAAAGACGTGCTTCCCTCCCCTCCCTCAAAGAAGGCCGAAAGCCAGAAGAACGCTCCCCGAAGCTTTGTGGGCTGGGAGTCTGCAGAGGTAAGAGCAGCTGACCACACACTGAGCCGCTGTCATATTTAATGTCCGTTATGTAGGGTAAAACTAGAACATATCCTAAAAGGCCAATGGGGAAAAGAACACATACCAGAATATCCCAAACAATGTGTTAGTAGGAAGAAGTTGCCACGTGTTCAACGTGAAAGTTGGCTGTATTACGAACGCTGCTAATTCCATCGGCTGCGTTGATTCGTTGACCCCCACAGTCAGACACAGTTGGTAAATTTGGTAATAAAGTGTTCAAAACATTGAACAGTTTTAACAGTGGCTAGAAGACAGAGGTGGCAAAAATGAACTTATTGACTTCCTTGCTGATTGATACCACTCTCATGTTTGTATAGTAAATATGTAGCTGGACCCGGCAAACCGTTATCTTAGCTTAGCATAAAGACTAGAAATGGGGGAAACAGCTAGCCTGGCTCACTCATTTACACAGTCTCTCTACACTTTGGTTTTTATATGGATGAATGTATTAATAGTGAGCTTTAAAGGTGCTGGCAGCAGATTGTGTTACTTTTGGACAGAGCTAGGCTAGCTGTTTCCCCCGTTTCTGGTCTCTAAGCTAAGCTAGCTGTTTGTAGTTTGATATTAAATGGACAGATCTGCAACTTCACCACTAAATCCTACACACTGGTCCTCAAAATTCTAATATTTTGGTACTTTTGTGCCTGTTTTGTAGGTAATACTCAACATCTCTGAAAAACACAGCTTTCCGTTTACTGATAGATTAAGTGAAAGGTTTTCTGATGCATTTTTTCTAGCATTAGCTCGCCAACCCATGGTTGGTTGAGAATTCAGGTCCTAAAACCCACTGATTATTTATGTTATAGCTAAATATTTACCAGTAATATAAATTGTATCATAGTATAATATATATATAGCATGTATATAGCAATATACATATAGCATATATTAATCTTCAGTTATGTGTTTGTCTCAGATGGGTGATGCATCTCTGTCGGAGTCTCCGGAAGAGGAGGAGGACATTGACAGTCCAGGTCCAGACAGAGGAAACTGCAACCCCCAAAACACACTTCCGGAGTCTCAGTCACCCTCCACAGAAGACTGGGTTGGAAGTCCCCGCAAACGCACTCAGACCCTGCCCGCCTTCAACTGCCCCCTAACGGGGATGGCAGCCAAGGCCGATGCCCTCAACCGGTGGAGTCGCATCCAGGAGAGCACGGAGGAGAAGAGCGGGACATTGTCGGAGGATATTTTTAAGATCCTGGACCTCCGGAGTTCAGGGTCATTGTTCGGAGGGTCTCAGATCAGTAACAAGGAGGGAGAGGATAGATTAACAGCCAGGAGAGGAAGTGACAACACAGGTTCTTCTAGTGCTGCCTCCCAAAAACCTAACAATGATTCCCAGCCTGCTCCGGTGCTGTCACATCAGAAGAGTGCAGGGAACCTGACAGTGAGCGGTTCAGTTCAGCAGGTCAACAGCAGGTCTGAGCAGACGAAAGACAGCCAGCAGCTTGTAGACCGCTGGAGCAGGTGAGGAATCACATGGAGACAAACACCAGACAGACCCCTCACTAACACCTACATGTGGTACACACTTTTTAGTTTAAACTATTGTCGCTTGACCTCCTTGAGGTATTCAGTGTATCTCAAGGATTTTGAAAGGTTTTTGTAATTGTAAGGGTTATAGAACACTTGTAAATCACCAAGATTGTTGTGAAAAACTACAGCTAATTTTGTTTCATATTCAGCCAGCATGTCAACATGCCAGTGAGCTAATAGGTTGATTGGTTTGTTCCAAGTGCAGTATTTCTTGTTTTGGGAATATTGTAGAAATGAGAGTCACTATCTTGACAGACTAAAGTAGCCCATTGGTCTAGAATAAAAAAGTGACAGATAATTCCAGGAAGCAATTACAACAAGCTGATTTATATGGAAACCGATTTAGTAATCTCTCTTTTTTTTCATTTTTACATAAAATGTTATTTTATGAAATCAATTGATTATTATAATACCTAATAATTATAAATGACAAAGTGCTGACATATTTTTGGACTGGATTCATTTGTTTTGCAATGATGGACATCGTTTTCAGAACATACCAAGTTGCTTTTTGGACTTTTTTTTCTTTTTCTGAACCCTTTGTGTCTCTCAATGTCTTCAGTCTGCAGCAGGAGAACAAGGAGCTGAAGGCCACAGTGGCAGAGCTCCAGTCTGCTCTGGAGAAAGATCGCCGCCGTGTGGCCGCTCTGGAGATCTGCCTGAGAAATGCTGAGCGCAGCCGAGACGAGGCCCAGAAACGCAATGAGGAGCTGCAAAGAGACATTCAGCAGTTCCTTACCAGACAGCCACAAGCTCCCACCTAAAAGTAATTTTAAGACTCACTAGTATATGGACATTTACTTTGTTAATCTCAACAGAGCTAATTTAACATGAACTGTTGTGGAAAATACTGTCGTCCTCCAGTGGGATGCTGGATTGTTTCCATTTGAGCCCTGTTTGGTCCTCAAGATAAATTATTGGCTCATTTGTTTGTGCCTGTGAGGAAAGTCTGTTAAGAAGAGATCTAAATAGGCTTTAACATCACTTTTTCCATTAAAGACTTTAAACACAAGTTTGTTCCTCTCTACTGCAGGAGTCATGTCACTGTATATGAACTGCCCTGATCCAGCTGTTACACAGGATGTACTGGAAAAGACCAGGTCAACTGGACTGAATAGTGTTAATGATGGACAGAACAAATACTATGTGTCATATATGGAGTAAATAGTCTTACTTGATGTTTCATTTCAGTAGTAAATTAATAAAATTAATAAATTTAAGTCTTTTTGTTGATGCATGGAATAATCTTACACAACATATTTATTATACCAACACATCAGTATACTTTTTTCTACTTCATTGCTGAAAAACAGTGATGAAAGCCTTCCAGATACATATAAACTGATTACATATGAAGCATGGTGGGTGAGATAATGGAAGATAAGGCATAAAGAGGCAATGACTTAGAGGCACCAGGTAGGTCACCTCATAGAGCATGTGTCCCATTTTTCCTTCCAGCCCGTGGCCCTTTGGCCTCTCTCTCCCGTTTTCCTGTCTTTCTTTCAGCTGTCCTTTTCAAATAAAGGCAGAAATCCCCCAAAAATTAACAACTCTATAGCCATGCAGCTCTAACATATACTCACACTGAGCACGCTAATATTCTGATGTTTAACAAGTATAATGTTAACCATCTTAATTTAAAGTGCTCGGATTAGTGATAGAGCGATCAACCGGGCTGATTATCTGGCATTTTCAGATAATGAGCTTTAATAAAAAAAGAGGCAAATCTAATCTAAAATCGTTACTGGCTAGTGTTAAATATATATTATTTTGTATAATGTATAGAATAATGCAGCTGATTAATGATGCTTCTCACATACTGTACCCCGTCCTCTAAACACCAGTCACATTCTGAAATCTACATCCAATGTATTTTTCTATTTAATTCATTAATAAAAATTCAAGCCATATTGATCAACCACTAGTTTGCATGCCAACATTTAACAAAAAGCGGCCAGAAACACGACTCCAAATGAATGCTAACATTGCTCTGTGTCTGCTGTATGTCTAACAGGCAATTTTACATCTGTTATATTGACTTATGGTGATAATATGTCAGTGTTGTTCCACTGCAATCATTTAAAGGCTTAGTGTGTAGGATTTAGTGGCATCTAGTGGTGAGGTTGCAGATTGCAATCAACTGAATACCCCTTCCCTCACCCTCCACCTTCAAGCATAGAGGAGAAACTACGGTGGCCATGAAACGCCCTATCTAGAGCCAGTGTTTAGTTTGTCGGTTCTGGGCTACTGTAGAAACAAGGTGGTTTAACATGGCAGACTCTGTGGAAGAGGACCCACTCCCTTTGTAGATAAAAATAGCTTATTCTAAGGTAACAAAAACACAATGATTAATATTTCAGGTGATCTGGGACTGCATTAGTTTTCAATACCTTTTTCATCTTAAACATCGCAGATGTAAATCATAAAATTCAGATGTTGGATATCAGCACAAAATGTTGTCTGTTAGAACGCTCGGTCTAAAAATAGAAACTCTGGCCATAAATCAACATCTGTTACACAATGAGGTCCATAATAGAGACCATATGGATGGGACTAACCGACTGTGTAAATGTGTGTTGTGTGCAAAAGAACACTGCCATTATCAAGCCTTCTTTCTGCCATCAGGAAGATGTGATAGTCTGTTGCGGCAGCAGTTTAACAGTGAGAGATAACAGCACGTCTGTCAACTGTCAGCCTGGCAGATGAGGCAGGAAAAGCTCATTCTTTCCCATCTCTGTGACGCACCACAATCAGGAGTGTATCTGCAGGTCAGACAAAGAAGCTCAGGAATGAAGGACAGTTATGTAGTGGAATGACTGTTCAGGTGACAAATGAAATAGTTGCAAATCTGTTCTCTTAAGCCAACGTGAGTCATTATTAATCTCATCAGAAGAAAGAGTTTCTTGACCCCAGTCTGCTTCACCATGTACAGTATATCCATACATTTAGTGATGACTTGTTGGACGGTGGAAGTTTTTCCGTCACGAGTCACTCAGTTTCCATCACATTAGACTGTCTCGGTTGCTCTATCACTAATCCAAAGGAATGTCTCTAAAATGCTGCGTCAGGACACTCATGAAACTTTGAGAATGTGCCTCATCTATTCTTGCGTTGAATACCCTTGCTCTTGCATTTTTCTAGGAGCCTCTTTTGCTCAGATAACGTATTTCAGACAGTGTCCACTTACCCAGAGGAGGAATCACACACAGAACATTTCACCAAGCACAGCAGGGGCATGATTGTAACTAAATAATATTAAATAAACATGAAGGATTATTTTGTACTACTGTGTTGACCTCCTGAGCAACTTGAAATGTTCTTGAGAGTCAGCTCGGTATCTTTCATCCTCGATCATTAAGGCCTCACACCTCATTGCATTTCAATTTCATTTGGACAAGTGTTGTCTAATAGATATATCCTGTTACATTCGACGGTATCAACAGACCCTTGGTGTATTTTGTCAAAAAGAAATGGTCAATGGAGCCTAGACAGCAGCTTGCAGAACTCCACCATTTACAGAGCAAATAAACAAATGAAGAATATCAACCCTGGAGCACCCACCCAAACAAAATAGCACTTCCACAAGGAAGAGGCTACAGGACAGTGTTTACAAAATCCTCATTAAGGAAGTTGTGAGATAACACACGCTCATGTGCATCACACAAAGTTGAAGGCACGCACGCACACACACACACCAGCAAAGAGACCATAAGCACTGAGCAATGCAGAGCCCACCATATCATAGATAAGAGACAGAAAGAAAGAACTGGGCAGAAGAGAGCAGAGCACAGAGAGAGACTGACAGAGGAGAGGACACAACAGAGATGACTCAGACGGACAAAGTCAAGCCTTGGCCACCCTGTCACCGGAACTGCAGCCCTGTCGCAAAGGACATCAAAAGGTGTGCATGAGAATAAATGCTGTGAGATCTGGAAGAGAGCAGCAGGAATACACACTCCTGCAGAGAGGCTCACACTGGTCAGTGCAAGGGTCAGCAACACTACTGTCTACTGCCAGGGAACCAGAACTTTCCATAGCCTGCAGATGAACTGACCACAATTTAAATTAACGTTTGGATTAAGGCATTCAGGGATTACAATTTTTTTTTTTTTTACTGTTGCAAAAGCCAATCCATAGATAATCCCAGAGGGCATAATAGAAAGCTGCAGATTGTCTTTCCTATGGCGTGCATTTGGATCTCTCAACTAAGAATCATCTGCAGCTCCAAGACTTGGCTCTTGCTGTTTTCCATCCTGCTGCTCCAGGGGCCTCTATGTGGACAGAGCAGCCCGATCTCCAGCACCCATCAGAGGCATCGCCCTGCTCCGGGGCTGGGAGATGGGCATGGAGGTGTGGTGGATCCGTCATTGCTGGAGCAGGGCAACAACATGGACATGCAGAGCCTGCTGGAAAGCCTGAAGGAACAGTTTCTGCGGACTTTCAACCTCTCAGGCTTGGGTCCTCCTGCCCTGCCTCCTGGAAGCATTCGAGAAGAGCCTCCTGAGTACATGATGGAGCTCTACAACCGTTTTGCTAATGACCGCACTGCCATGCCCACTGCCAACATCATCCGCAGCTTCAAAAATGAAGGTAAAGATCCTCTGCTCCATATGATGATGATGCCCCTGTTGATCAAATAGATTGATTAAAAATTAGAACTTTTTCCTTCTTAGTTGCTGCCATGTTTACATTTTTCATTGAATGATTAATTACTCATCACTCACTGGTCTGCAAGGTCAAAGACTTTAAGTAGTGAAACTGGGAGCAAGGATCTTCATGTATATATGTACTGGTTTTATGTAGACTAGCTTCAAGTATGTACGACCAAATATTTTGTCCAAATCCAAGCCTTAGTCATGACCCTTCTTTTTTTCTAACTGCAACAGCTTGTAATTAAATTAAGATAATAGTTAAATACATCCAAATTAGGAATGAAATTGAGGATCAAATTCTTTATACAGTTTGGTCAAGATAGCATTAGTATTTGTTGCAGAACTCAGCTCAAAACCTCATTAAAAAGACTACACAAAATGTATATTAATGTTTATTTCTCTTTTCCAGATTCATCTCCCAGTGTTGTGGGTGTTGGAGGAGTGAGGCGTCACCCACTCCTATTCAATGTGTCAGTCCCACATCATGAACGTATCACAGCAGCCGAGCTTCGCCTCTACACCCTTGTCCAGATTGACCGTCATCTCTATGCTGGTGTCGACCGTAAAGTCACTATCTACGAACTGGAATTGCATGACAGAGACAACAACATGACTGATGAGAACACCATGAGAGGCGATGGATTCATAGAGGAAGGAGAGCGGATAGAGCTGGTGGAGTTGGCTTCACGCCAGGTCTACGGCACAGATAACGGCTGGGAGGCCTTTGACCTCACTGCTGCTGTTCAACGCTGGCGCAAATCTGACCATGGCACTACGCACCAGCTGGAAGTGCACATTGCCAGCATGGGTAATGAAGATACTGTTCAAGGTATGACAGGGGACAACAAAGACAGGGATCCACCTGAAGGGGACATGAAGATTGACACCAGCCCTGAGGAAAAACACAAACCTCTGCTGATTGTTTTCTCTGATGACCAAAGTAGTGATCACCGTGATGACAAGCGTGAGCTGAACGAGATGATTGACCACGAAACCTCTAACATGGTTCTCCAGAACGACTTGGGGACAGGTCTGAATGGGCTGTGGGGGGAGCTGGGGAGGGACAGGGATGGAGGAGATGAAGAAGTTGAGCCAGATGAAGAGGACCTCATCCAAATGCGCTCCAATCTGATCTATGACACTGCATCTCGCATCCGTCGCAATGCCAAGGGAAACCACTGCAAGAAACAATCTCTGTATGTAGAGTTCAAAGACATTGGATGGGACAGTTGGATCCTTGCGCCACCTGGTTATGATGCCTTTGAGTGCAGTGGCATTTGTTCTTTCCCACTGACGAAACATGTCACACCCACAAAGCATGCCATTGTCCAGACATTGGTCAACATCAACAGTCCTCAGAAGGCGGCACGAGCTTGTTGCGTGCCCACCAAGCTGGACCCTATCTCCCTGCTGTATCTGGATGACACAGGCGTGGTCACCTACAAGTACAAGTTTGAAGGCATGGTGGTGGCTGAGTGTGGCTGCAGATAGTCCATGCTTAGCTATAGAACTAACGATGAAACCGGAGATAAGCCAAAAGTGTCTTCAACAAAAGGACAATTGTTGGCATCTCTGTAAGGGGACTCTGTGAGATTGGACTTTCACTATTCATGAAACTGAATGAAATGAAAGAATGACTGTCTTGTTTTAAACTACAAAACAGAAACAAGTGCTTTATCATACATGGCCAAAGGCATGAATATCCATTGACATCAGTCAAACAGTAGAGAGACAGTGTGCCGGAGATTTACAGTCAATATGGTGCCCAAAGTGAGACACAAGATTTCCCAAGGGGCCGAACCGAGCACATCGTACAGTGTGTATGGCCTGGTGGGAACTAGTGGACCAGTTATCCCCTTCCTCTCCACTTATCTCTGGCCTCCCCACTTGATGCAAACACTAATCAGCACTTCATGTGTCCTGGCGCAGTGAAATGACCTCCCTGAGGCAACCTGACAAGACATGAACTCTCCAGGCCGATCTCCTGCCTCCTGCAGCCTCCTGATACTAAGGCGCTGTGCAGGAGTCCTAGTGGCAGGGTTATCTATCCAAACCCTGTTTCCCACTTCACATGCTTCTTTTCCACTCCCCCGAGCTACAGCGATAGCAAGGTGTGGGTGTTTGAGAAACATGTATGCCACCACTTGCGCTTGGAGAACTGGACGCCATTCCGGGGAACTTTTGAGGTGGTGGGAAAGGGCAGTGGGACAAGACCAGGGGGCAGGGGTTGTCCACATTCCTAGGCAACAAACAATCTTAACTGGCTCAACTCATTGACCTTGCACCATGTGCCCACAATATATCTCTGACTCCTCAGTCACTTTTATGGTCAAAATGGCCTTCTGGGACATTTATTATATGTATATGGCCAAAATCAAGAGTTGAAAAAGGTTGCATTTGCTTTCGAATATCAAAAGGAAATACAGTTACAGTTTTAAAATGAAACCCTTTTGATACCTCTGCTGCTTGTGTCAAAATAAAGACTATTTATTGTTCTAATTTATTAATTTTTACAACTGAGTAGATAACTAAATATGTACATTTGTAAGTTACTTAGTGTAGAGCAGGTTTTGTATCAGTGCATTTGCAGCACAAAATGAATTTTGTTGGGAAATGGTTTGGAAAAATGGTAACAATTTCTAAAACAATAAAGATCAATTACTTAACAAATCCTAAATGAAAAGACTCCTTAACTATGAATGAATTACTGAAGAAGGTTTACACACCATGTTATTCAAAATGTCCTTATGAGCTCATATCAAGATGAATGTAAATATTTGGAGCTAGAATGCCACACTGATCCATTTTTCACATTGCAATGATCAATCAAAGCATCTTGATCTATCAACTTAACTTTCCATTATTTTAGAAAGAAGCTACTAGAGCAGTCATACAATACATTGCTGACAGTCCAACAGTATCAGCTCACAGGCCATAGTTCATACATGACACACAAACAAAGAACCATGGGAAACTGAGCGGAAGACCCGCTAATGAACAAAATGGATGGCCTGTTGCTCACACTGACAGCTAGCAGATGCAATCAGTTGTGATGGAAAACCTGTTGGTGAAAAGAAAATGTGAACAAAAAAAACAAACAAAGATCTGGACTCCAGTATCTCCTTCTTTTCACACTAAATTGTCTATGAATGTTAGACCAGATTGCAAGAGCATTGTGTTATTCATGTACCAACGCATACACAAGATAAATAAAGGATACAGATCAGATTCATGCTCGGAAATGTGTAAAACTTTTTATTATTTATTTGTTGTTAAGAATGTGTGTCACACATAATGTTTTATGAAAGGTGAGACGTCTGTGCTGTTTGGGTAAATCTGATCGCTAGCAGCAGAATTGAGGTCAACGATGAAAATCAAAGACAGACAAGACGCACAATGAGATATGGATAGGAAGTAGAGATCTAGAAGAAAACATGATATCATATTGGAGATAGTGAGCTAATACTCATGCCAGGCTGCTTTACTAACCGGTTAAAGATACAGTTTGATCTATTGAAAAAATACACTCCTTTACTTTCTTCACTGAATTTGATTGTGTGTAAGGCTACAGCCTGAGTCAACAGTTAGCTTAGCTTAGCATTAAGACTAAAAAAGGCTGCCTACTGGCACATCTTGTGTGATGAATCCATACAAAATAATTCAGCTAACAAACAAGAAAATATAGTTTTACGGGGAATTATATGCTGGACTGTTTCTTTGCCATGTTCAATGGATTCCTGGAGTCTTGTCATTACTGTAAGGTTGTCAGGCAATTTTCTGAGAATTATTTAGCTTTAGAGGTGCTGGTGCTAGCTGATAGCCTTTATGCTAAACTAAGCTAACTGTCTCCATGCTGTAGCTTCATACTTAATGGACAGACAGGTGAGTGGTATCAATCCTCTCATCTATCTCTAGTCAAAAGAGCAATTACGCATTTCCTTTAAGAAGCTTTGACCAATAGTAATGTTGTCACTAAATTAGTTTCTAAAAAGGCAGGCGAGAGGTATGTCTGGGGTACATATGACTTATGCAATCATAATACCATTGCTACATTGTCGCAAAATAATGATTATGTAATACTTCTGCTGCTTCTGTGGATGATACAGTAAAATTCTAATATGCAACTGCATGTGCTACACACACACTGATTTCTCATCTATATGCAGTCAGACAGTGTGTCGCAACTAAAGTTACAGTTCTAGAAGTTTATTATAGTAATTCTGCCAGTTAAAAGCTTCCTCAAAAAAATGTCTTTGGCAACAGCCCACTAATGGCAAGTGCACTGAGATGTTTCAGAAAGCAAACAAGTCAGACACTCTCATGTAAGATGAGAGCAGAGGTTGTCTAAAAATGGTTCTGGACCACAGGGCAAGAACCTCAGTTACTGTGACAACAGGCACTCTCAGCTATGTGAAGCTCTCTAATTGAATATTTACAGAATGGTAGAAGAAATAGGAATCTGGCCTTTGTCACTGAATGGCAAAGTTTCAGAAAATATGATGAAATACGAAGTCTTCAGTATTCGCTCTGATGATAAGGACTGGTGGCTCTGTGCTTTTTCCAACTCTTGTTTTGACATGGCTTGATCTGTCAAAAGAATTTTAATCCCACTTCTTGTTGTTACGCTGGAGTTTGTGTAGGATTTAGCCTACGTGATTAATTTAGGAGCACACCTATCAGCATATAAACAAACTGAACAGTTCCCAATGTACAGACAGTTCAAAGTTCTTCAGAATCCTGTAACGCTCCAGTGCCTGACAGCATGACGTTGGCTGCAGGAAGTCTGTGAAAACACACTGTGAACGTGTGTTTTGGTGTGTGTCATCTAAAGCTTCATGACTCGCCCTGACTCTGACGTGGGGTCTGTAATAGGGCCTGATTGTTTCCGTTTTGGGTCACATGTTTATCATTCAATCTCTTGCCAACACCACCACCCATACTCATCCTTATTGTTTCCTTGAGTCTCTGCGCTTCTCAGGAATAGTACACTTTGCTCAACAATTACTTTATGACTATGAAGTGTCTCCACATGTGTAAACACCTTTTAACATTTCATTGCGAAATTTCAAAAAGCCCATTGAAAGGGTCACTGATGAAAAACAGATGTTGTGGTTCACTTGCTTACACAAGTTTAATATTTCCCACAGACCGATTTCTCTCCAAACAGTTCAGTCAGGACAAAAAGAACTGTACATCTAGCACTGTCATTCTTCATTTAAAGTAATAACTTTCAATCACCAGAGACCCTCTGTTAAGAATATATTATCAGTTGTAATCAAGTAGGTTAGGAAAATCTAATTATATATCTTCATTAATGTTGTATTATTATGTTGAAACCATGGTGAAAAAGACACATCACAGGTAAAGTAACGATACATTAATGAATTTTTTTTTTCCCCTCCATGGTGAGTCATTATGTGCTAGACCCCACATGTCACTTTGATGAAGTGTAGGAAACTTTAACAATCTCTCCTATGAAAACAGCATGAGGGTCAAAAGAGAGATAACTACAAATCCTCTGGCATGATCCCAGCTGAATTCTGTAGAAATTAAAGCCTGAGGATGATTAAATGACTGGATTTTAAGGGTGTTTGATGACAATGCCTCTGTAAATAAAAACAGCAATTGCAAATAGTAACTGAAAGGCTTCTCATCTCTAAAAACATGTGGTTTTGATTGTTTAGTCAAATCTCTGTGGAACCAGTTTACAAAGAGTGTAGTCAGCTGAGAGGCCCAGGGCATATAAAGCATATAAAACAGAAACCTGAACCCGAGGTGAACAATAACACCCCTAGTCTGCTTTCAGAGGTTTTCTCATGCTTATCAAGCCCAATGTTTAACATGTTTTTAATATTTTTTTTAACAGAAATGGGGATTCATGAAAAAACTTTGCCATCATGTATAATGACCAAATATAGCATTGAATATAACAAAGTCTGTACAAAATGTTAATCCAGAAGATATATGGTACAAATACACAGCTTTGGCTAAAACAGGAATGTTCACTATAAATATTTACATTATTCTTACATTGTAGAGAGTTCCACTAAAATATTGAGGTTTTGCAAAAACCTGCAAGACTAACTTTCCTGCCAAGAAAATTAGAAGATTGATCAGCCAGTTTAGTTTAGCTTATCATAAAGACTAGAAAGAAGTGGAAGAAGACCCAACAACCAGGACCTAAAGATCACCAGTTAACACGGTATATGTCTTTTGTTTAATCTATACAAAAATGTGTGGTTTTATAGATTGTTATATATGCTGGACTATTTTGTGGCCAGGTATAGTCCCTTCCTGGAGTCTCCACTGAGCCAATTTAGCTGTTTTCAGTCTTTGTGCTAAACCAAACTAAACTGCTGGTTGTAGCTTCCAGTTTACTGCACAGACTTGAGAGTAGTCTTCTCATCTAACTCTGCATGTCAGACTACTGTATTTCTTCAAAAGGTTTGTAAAGTATCCTGGCATTAGTGAATATCAGCTCACTGCAGCCATTCAAACATATCTGTAGTTTTCCCTTTAACATATGATCATTGTCCAAAATAAATCTGTCACATATTATCTGCCTACAATATGAAAACATTTAAATCCATCCAAAGACACACCCATGTCATGAGGGGAAATCAGCCACATATTAGTTCAGGCATTTGTTCATTGTCTTTTTCTTATTGTGTCATCCCTGCGCTCCCCTCATCTCGTGCTGCGTTCACTTGCTGTAGAACAGCTGTAGATATGAGCGTCCAACTGAACTCAAAGATCATTGACAAGGAAACACACAGTGTATAATCTTGTTAAGGGGATTATACAGATTTGAATTGTTTCTTGTTAGAAATGGAATTTTGTGGTCACAACTCTCAAAATGTCTTGATACTGCAGGATATATGACTGAATGGTTGGTTTGCTGTAAACTGTGGGAACACATGTCCCTTGTAAAGTGTGCGTATGAAAAGCAGGAACAATCAAAGTCTGCAGAAAATATCCTTCATTGCATCTTGACAGTTTTGCTGGAACTTGAGCAGTCCCCAGTTTGCTGCATCATGCAATGGTTTTGTCACTCTGGTGAATACTGCCCTGGTGCACGGTATGTGCCAAAGAGGTGGTCCCAGTGTGTGAAGTAGGGGGCGTAGTTTCCCCTGAAGATAATGTGATGGGCTTGGTGGTAGGGGGCTCCACCCAGACAGGGCAGCAGTCTGTGCAGAGCCCAGGGCAGGTCGTAGCCACAGTGGTCCTCCACCGCCAGCCAGCTGTTGAAGAGGTGGAAGAGGGCTTCGCTCAGAGGGTGGCAGCCCACCACCCAGGCGCTGCTCAGAGCCAGCAGCAGCAGAGACAGCAGCTCGGCTGCACTGGCATCCTGAGCTGCCAGAGCGAAGGGTACATGGTTCTGGTGGTGCAGCTGGTGAACACTGCAGTAGAGCCAAGGAACCCTGATGAGAAGCAGACAAACATCTGTTTCTGTTTATATTCACTGCAAAGTCATTACAATATTCCCAGAATTGTATGTTACTATGTCGGTGGTTGTGTACTCAGCAGAAAATCACTTCTACTACTACTGCCTTTACAACTACTAATACTAATACTACAACTATTACTTATAATGTTGCATCTTATAGAAAAACAACTCAGGACACCCAGCAAGTTCAAGTTAAAGGGGCACTGATTTTAAACATGAAGGTCGGTTTACTTGTCCATGATGATGTCATAGAGATGTCATCGGGGTTATCTCAGATTGGATTTGAGACTTAAAAGTTTTAGTAGACTGCCTGTGTTACAAAATGGGGGAGTGGAATTTGAAAGGCATGAACATTTACCAGGAACAAGGGGGCTAAAAAAAGAATAGCAAATTAGTTGCATTATGGGAAGTTTTTGGAGCTTGACCTGCTGGCTACAAAAAGTCAGGTTATTTTGGTCTTTGCTGCTTTAGTGATCATTCCTTTTTTGTCTGTCTCTCTTAACTGTGACCTATTGTACATAATCTCCTGCAGTCTATTAGTCTGCTAACAAGTGATCCTAAAAAGATAAAGTGAAAAGTGTTGTTGTTTGCCTTTCTAATACCACTTTTTTACATTAACCAAACTGTTGTGAGCTCGTCACATCCACTCATCTGTTCTCCATGAGCTGTATATATATGGAGATAGATCTGAACAAATTATTTTGGTATAGGAAGGTAGAGCAGCAGCATTGGTGTAACTCAATTCATTTTATCAAAAGTAGAATAATATAGGGTCTGATAAGTGATATAGAGAAGGTAAAAAAAATGAATATTTCCCTCTTTATGTAGGGGGTATTTTTTTAAGAGTTTTTTGAACAAAATTCGGAACGAAACGGCTGATTTTTTTTTTAATTGAACTGTTTATCGGATAACGCTTATTTCTCGTTTCTCGATATAACGAGATCATATTATGTACGACCCGGCTCGTGAGAGGGAGAGGGAAGCAAATGAACAGAAATGGTTTTTGGTAGATTGCAGTGTATTTATTTGCAGGTTACAAGGAGACTGAAAGGCTGTTGGATGCTGCTTAACTCAAAGAAAATATATTAAGAGGTTCCTCCCAAAATAGAGTAACCATGTACTTCTAAAATCACTTAAAACACTCTAAATGATCATCATAATCAAAATACAAAATAAGCAGCACCCTCTAAACCTAGTTGTCTAACAAAATAATCTACACTGTCAGGTTGTGGTCAGTTACCCCACCTAAACTTGCCAATTTCCTTAAAAACAAAGATTTCTCATTAGCAACACAGGAAACAAAGATTTTACTTTCTCAATCCACTAAAAGTAAGCTTCTACAGAAGTGTACAGTTTCCAAGTAAAATCAAGGTCACAAAGCGAGTTGGATCACCGAGAGAGCCGAATCACCATGCAGCTTTTTTAAACGGAGGCGGTAGAGGAGTTGGAGGACTTGCAGACGCGACCAATCAGTCACGACCGGAAGGAAGTAGAAGGTTTAGTGTATCCAATCTCGGCAAGGGATCGCACATCCTGTTACGACACAGCTGCATAACACAGAAACACATGCCAGATAATGGTGGTTGGACGTAACACCATCCTTAAATAAAACCATGAGTTTTGTACAAAACAACACTTTACAATGCTATTTTTATACTCTTGATAGAGCATCAGTAACACATTTTTCGATCCTTTCTTTGAGTACATGCCAGTTGTAATCGATTGCACGCCAAGGCCCCCGCATGAGTCGCTGGTTGTGGTTATTACTGCGGGAAGAAAAACAAGTGGATTTATGGTCAAGGTGTGTTACATTGGCAGGAACTGGACCAACATATACCTCAAAGTGCTGTAGGCCAACACACAGCAAGGGATGTCTTTTCATGGTCGAGTAGTTAGCCTGGTGGCCGGTTAAACTACGGGAAAAATAACAACGGATGATCACACCATTGACATCATCCTGCAATTGATGACACTCCACTGCACTGGAGCTACCTCAAGGTTTAAAAGGTTTAGCGGAAGTCTGGGGCAGCGGAGCGGGGCATACTTAGAAGTATTTTTACAATCTCGACGAGTGCTTGGCACTCTGGAGCCAGGTGAAAATCTACTTGGGACTGAGCGGATTGGTTAATGGCGTAAAAGGTAGAAATTACGGGCAAAAGTTCTGTAGATAGCTGCATTCCGAGAACCGCCGAAGAGTTTAACGTGTGGTCGGAATGGGAAATTTCTGTTATGGTGGGCGACCTTCGCTCAACATCGTCGCACCTGACACTGTCCAACTGTCTCCAAATAGGTGACAGTGCTTACCAAAGTCCATTTTGCCAAATTTATGGTGAGCGTTGAATGCGCTAGCCGTGAAAACACCTGCTCAAGGACTCGCAACATGCTCTTTCCAAGTTCAGTATAGATGATCAAATCGTCAGGTAGCGTTACAGTTAGTTTTAATCCCACCAACACGGTATTCAACCTTCTGACAGCTGGGCGGAGCATTCCATCATCCAAGCCATAAAGTAATGTAGGAAGTGATAGGGGTAAGACGAGATATTTTTAGAGGCACGCTCTGTCAGGGCTTGCAATAACCCTTTAGCAAATAACTTTACTGACATATTTGGCGGTGGCAAGTTATCATACAGTCCTCCATTCTAGGTAAGAGGATAAAATCCGAATGGTAACACATTTACTTTGCGAGTCCGTTATGACTGGAGAGCATCAGACTTAGCTCTAAGAGACCGGGAGAACTCAGGGACTTGAGATGGGTACAGAGAATTCTGTTAGGAGGTACTGTGTTTCTATCCCTTCATCCTCTCTCTCTCGCTCTCTGCTGATAAGAGGCCGGGATTAGTTACTACAATGGTCATGCTGAGGACAACGGTTGGGTCTGTGTCGGAACATCATATGAAAAGAAAGAGGAACGATAACAACGATACGACACATCTTGTTGTTGTTCAGCGGTCAGATCTGTAAGTTGGGATGGTAAGCTTTCACGCTGAGAGTTCCGGAGACGGTGCACGGAGGGGCACGGCTCCAACCATCACTGCAGATAGATCAGGCTGATCGGTTATTGATCAGTGCAGCGACACTAATTATTTATCGGAATAGGACCCTGGGATAAGCGGAGATCAATGGATAGTTTTGTTTCTCTGATTGGTACAATTCAACTATTTCAATATGAAACTCTGTTTTTCCGCTTCTTTCGGGGGTGCCAATTTACATATCTGTATCACTATCCTCCGAACGTCATTATAGGACAGAGACTTGGCAGAAGAGCAGAGCGCAACGGGCAGCAAGCCAAAAATTATTCTACTGGACGACGAGGAAGCAGAGCGGTCATATGTGCTCATCACGGATTGGGAATGATATGAGCCTCTTTAGAGTGCGTTAGCCCGATGCAAGCGGCTCCGGACTGACTGACATAATCCACCATTGGTACTAGGTGATGCGTTAAGTGACAAAATATTACGACAATTAAAATTTATTGTTTGTTAGAATCAAAGTAATGGAATATTTCCATTTTCCAAACTACTTTCCTCCGTCATTACAAAAATTAAACCAAGGATGTGAATGGACTGTTGGATTTCAGATCAGTAGGAGGAGACAACAAAAGTAAGGTTGTAACTAATTCAGTTTTGGGGAGTAACCATAATATTATTACTGAACTGTATTAGTAATTAATTACACTACTATACTTTTACAATAATTTGTATCAGGAGGGAACGATCAGGTATACTGGGAGGTAATCGCTGACTTTGTCGAACTGGTATGAGTTAAACCAGCTTCATATAAATGCCAGCAAGACAAAAGAGGAGATTACACTGGTGAACATCCAGGGTTTGGACATTGAGAGGGTGGGAACTTACAAATACCTGGGTGTTCACCTCAACACCAAACTGGACTGGACTCACCACACAGATGTCCTGTACAAGAAGGGCTAAAGTTGTCTTCATCTGCTGAAGAGACTGAGGTCCTTTGGTGTGTGCAGTAGTCTGTTGGGGAGCTGGAAGCACTGAGAGGGACAGAAAGAGACTTATCAAACTGGCTACGAGGGCTAGTTCTGTCCTGGACTGCCCTCTAGACTCCACAAAGGAGGTGGATGAGAAGAATGTGAGCCAAGCTTGCGTCAATCATGGACAACACCTTTCACTCCTTGCATGAGACTGTGTGGGCCCTACAGCTGTCAGACTCTTGAACTCAGCAACCACATTATGCAGCTCTGTTTGTCTCTGCCAACACTTATCTCAGTCACTTTTTGCACTATTTAATATACTCTTTGCACTACCAGTACACATACTAGTACACTACTTTCACATACGTATATTTATACTATATCATTTCCTACATGCCATTATGAGTATTACACCTGTACTGTATATTCATAGCATATTCTGTCTTTGGCTTTTTTTTCCCACTAATCTATACTGCTGTATATATATTTTTTGTCCTGTGCAATTATTTATTTTACACCATGCCACTACCTCCTGCTGCACCTGTGCAATATTCCATATCAATCGCATCTGTAAAAAATATAGTGTATATAGTGTTTTTATGTGTATTTTCTTGTCTGTTGTCTTGTATCTGAAGCTGCTGTATGTATATGCCCCCAGTGTCTGATCAATAAAGTCTATCTTATCTTATCTTACTGGGTAAAGTAAAATCATGACTGTAATAGTATTACCAGTACTAAGTTACTGCCCAACACTGCACATTAGACAGACAAAATATAGATTCGTTTAGCAGAAAATTAAAATTCTCAAGTACACATAGCTCAGAATTGTACTTCACGTTCACACTGCAAGCCTTCGCACTCAATTCTGATTTATTGCTCAGATCTGATCAGATCTTTGTTTGGTTGTTCACATTATTTTATAAACCGCGCTGTCTGTCAATCAACAATGACGTCCTGGACCTGATTTGGACCACATATGAAAGCGACTCAAATCAAAATGAATGAATGAAAATCCATAACTTGTGCTGTTCACACTGTGATGAGAAGTACAGATCTCACTCACACTGAGCACGCTGCTCACCTGTGCATGAAGAAGTGCCATATGAAGAAGAGCATGTCAAACAGCAGAAAGCATGCGAAGACCTCCACGAAGAGCTGCCAGCAGGACGGAGCCACCTCCGGTAACGTGGGGCTCCTCAGAGTCTGAAACAGCGCGGTGGCGGGGAGGACGGAGGTCAGGTATCTGTACAGCACCCTCCAGAAACAGTCAAACCATCGTTTGAGAGACGGCGGCGGACCCGAGCCTGTAGGGATCCTCCACAGCTGGACCCACGGACAGATGCTGGCCAGCGCGTCCAGCGCGAAGAAAGGTGCGCAAAGCAGGACGTGCGTCAAGAAAGCGTAGGACGCAGGCAGGTAAGGAGAGAGCAAGATTTCCTCCTGCTCTGCCCTCACATACTCCCACAGCCCCTGCAGCACAGGCGCGTATGCCTCTCCATGCTCCGTGGAGGGTGCATTCATCACGGATTCCTTCACCAGACGTCATACATTACCGTCTTCTTACAAAAACTACAAAAGTAAGTTCTGAAGCAAAGCAGCTGATATCCTCACATAAGTGATACGTCCTCACTTTGAACGCGCGTCTGAAGGATGTATCCTGGACAGTATCTCACACATTGTTAGAAAAAGGTAATTTGGGTGTTTTTCCCTTGCTGCTGCCCCGCTGCTCACCAGCCCACTCACACTGCTGGAGAAAGCTTCTGTGGTAGGAGGGGCCCCGCATACACACACGTTTAGATATGTGAAGCTAATTAAAAGTGTCTTTCTCTCCTATTTCACCAAAGTACCAGTGAATAGTTGAAGTATAAGCTAAGTCCCCAGATGGGAGATGAGTTGGCTGCTGGAAATGCAGGGGCTTTCTGTGAGAACACTGTTGCGTTTGTTGCGTTGGATGACATTATCACAGCTATGGGGCACAGAAACTAGATCCAGTTTAGATTTTGATGTTTTTTTTCAATTTGGGGATTTTCCAGGAATAAGAGACAATTTCAGCCCGGTCAGAACAAGAACAGTTCTAAGGCGTGAAAATTGAAAATTGAAAGTGA